TACACTGAATTCTTGTTGTATATCTCTTAAGACTGTTGAATTAGTTTTAAAGAATTATTTATCACAGCTTTATCTAAATTCTTTGACCTTTTTGTGAATGAGAAATAATTACAGCGTGATATGATTTAGCCATTTTACATCTTAATTAGATTTGTGGATGAAAAATCATATGTTTGAATCTTCCCTCATTTGGGTTTATTTTCTAAACGCAGCCTCGTGAACATTTCTCACCTTCCTGTATGAGTTTGAGGAGGATCTTGACGAAGGTGCTGTCCTTGGCGGCGTCCAAAGGGTCGTCAGCCCCGTCGGCAGACGACCAGCTGGGGGACACAAAGCATCAAAAATTTATCACAGTGACATTAAAATTTTATTTAAATCTTCCGTCTCCAAATAAACACAAATATGACAGGTGGATCTTACTCGTCTCTCCTGAGCGCTTTGCCGAAGATCTCACATTTCAGCGAGTCGATGTCCACAGCGTCCTCCTGCAACGCACAGAAAAAGAAAAAATCAAATCTTCAATCGCCGTCAAGCTGAACCTCAATCAGAGCATCGCTCTACATAAACCAGGAAGTTACCTCGTCGATGTACTCCAGCAGATCCAGAGCCTTTTTGAAGTCGTACTCGTTGGCTCGTCTGTTGTCGTCGCAGATGTACAACTGTGGCGAGGAGAGGACGTTACCGTTAGACCTAATCTGGTTTCAGAAGCGTCAGTGTAAACAGGAAATCTAGTTTCCTTCTCGGTGTTTAAAGGTCCAGTGTGCAGGATTTTAGTAGCATTTAGTGGGCGAGTCTGAGAACTGAAAATGTAAGTTTGGGTGGGAATCTGGTCACATGAGCTAAGCTGAAAGGAAGAGGAAGTGACTAGGACTGCACAATTAATCAAAGTATTATCAAAATCAATAAGCTGCAATTCTTTCATGAAAGTAAAATGTGAAAACAAGCAGAGATTATCTGGACTTAAAGAATCATACATTTCAGTTTTTTTTGTGAAAATGAAATTTCTTTCCCACTAATCGTAAATTTAACGTCCTATAAATTCTTTACAATAAAAGCCTCTGATTGTTGAACTCTTTTATTATGAAGCAGCAAAATCAGGAAGTGTTGGGTGTCGATAGCAAACATGAACCAGTAACACAAAGCAGATATCTGAAAGTAGAAACAGGGATGAGGAGAGGAACCAACCTGTGGTGTGTGTGTGTGTGTGTGTGTGTGTGTGTGTGTGTGTGTGTTCACCTGTATGAGGTTGTGAGCGCTGAGCAGAGGCATGGTGTCGGGGTTCTGCTGCTTCTCCTCCAGCAGCTGTCGAGGCAAAGTCTCCTGATGAAGCAGGAAGCGCTCCTGCTCCACGATGTCTGATCGGACAGATAAATGACAGCGTTCAACAGTCAGAACATTTTAGCTATAAAAAATGTCACATCCTGATTCTGTGCGAAAGAGAATTGGTCGTTAGAATTGAATCTTTTTGCTTTTACCGTTGACTTTTTTGTTGAGCTCGTCCTCCGGCAGGTTGGAGGCCAGCACGGTGAGCTTACTGAGAGCCAGCAGCGTCTTCTTCTTCACAAAGTAACGCGTCTCCATGTTGGCCTGATTGTAGAGCGTCCTGTGAGCCTGCAGAGACACGAGACAACACGTCAGACGCAGCGTCAATGAAACGGCGTCAGCATGAAACCGCTGCGCAGGCTGTGAACGAGGCAGTTTAAATCGTCCTGGGGGTCACCAAAGCTTCACGATGCCTTCTTGAATTTAAGGGGTGGAAGAAAACTCCTAACATACAAACAGGAGGCCCTACATTGCAGCTTTTGTTTCATTATCGTGAAGAAAACTAAATGAAATTGTTATTTTTAAAAAGGTTTAAATTGTTTTTTAAGATCTAAACTTTGAACAGCTGAACACAAGCTCTATTCACAGAGCTTCACTCTGATAAACAGCTTTACAATTCACAAAAATGATAATACAGACACTTCCTGAACTTACTGTCTTCACTATTCGACTGTAACTGTACAGTTTATCAGGTCTAATATTAAATATCCATAAAAACATAAAACTATGAGAACTTTTGAAGATTCTTACTGCAGGAAAGTGAATTTTCATTTTGTATCTTGACAAAGTAAAAAACAAACAACACACTCAGAGTGTAAAACCAGGAAGCCTTTTCTTTCTCTTTCTATGAGTGTGTGTAGGAGAGATAGCGAGAGATGATTATGTGTGTGTCTGTGGCTTTCCTGTGTGTGTGTGTGTGAGCTTGATAACTGTAAAGAGGAAGGAAATTGTGTGATGTGTGTGTGTGATGCAGAGGCAGTTATATTTGCTGCTGTACTCTGGTTGTGAGTCGATATGTTCAACGCTGCTAAAACAGGAAGGAAACGGAGTGATGTGTGTGTGTGGAGTTGTGTTTCTTCTGCTTTACACTATAGCAGCTGTAGATAGCGGGGAGGAAGGTGTGTGTGTGTGTGGTTCATCTGATAGCAGCTGTAGGGCGGTGGATGAGTTTCTGTCGGAAAAGGGGTAAATAAAAAAGGAAGGAGTAAAACAAGTGAAAATGAAGGAAGAAAAACAAGAAACAAAACGTAAAAGGGGAGAAGAAGGAAGATATGATGGATGGAAGGATAGGAAATAAGGATAAAAGGGTGAAAAGGAGTATAGAATGAAAGAAGAAAGGAGGAAAGACAGCTGAGAGGAAGGAAAGAAGGTAAAAGGGAGAAAGGAAGCGACGGAAGAAGAGATAGGAGGGAAGGACTTACAAAAAGGTAGGTAAAAGGGAGGGAAGGAAGAGGTAAGATTAAATGGGAGGAAGGAAGTAAAGAAAAAAGAGGAAAGGAAGTAAGAAAGAGAGGATGTAGGGAGCCAAAAGGGGGGGAGAAATAAAAAGGGATGAAGAATAAATGGTGTGAAAGAAGGCGACGTCCGTTACTGAGGGAAATGTAAAAAAAAAAAAAAAAAAAAAAAGGAAGAAGGAAACAGGAAGGAGCTGTGGTTGTGGTTTTGTATTGAAGAGTGTGCGTGTGTGTGCGCCGTACACTGCAATAGTCGTGGACGTGGATGTGGTGCAGCCAGCTCAGGTGCTGGTGCGACTGCAGGAAACTGGCCAGCTGCTGGTGCTGAGCGGCCGGCTGAGACAGCAGCTTCCCCCTCTTGCCCTTCTCCATGTACCAGCGAAACAGGAAGTCAGCAAAGTTCTGCGGCAGGAAATGACAAAGAGGAAGTTGGTGAGCAAACTGAAAATAAAAAAAAAACTTCCCACATCAGTCTGAAAGCTGAGAGGAGTCAGTCACTTATTTGTTTTGTGAGATAAGAACCAAAAATACACCTACACTGAACAAAGCTTTTGTTATAAACATACCAGCAATGAGAGATTCATTATGTTTTAGTGGTGTGTAAGACTTTAAACTAGAGATTGAGACCATAAATTAGATTAGATTAGATTAGACATCATTAGGAAAGTGTTTGCTGAGCTCATAAATCAAGAAGAGAAGTAATTATAAACTGTGAGAGATTAAAACATTGCTCCACAGCACTCCTAGTGGTCAAAACCTCTGGTTCTGTAAATGTGTGTACCTGGTCTGCAAACTTGGTCATGTAGTGCTGCAGGCGGCTCTGGTTGTCGGTCTGCTCGCACATCTGAACCAGGATGTCAAAGTCACAGTACTTCTCAGCCAGCGCAGCCACCCACTGGTACTGACCCAGATCCACTGCAACACAGAACAACTTCACAGTGACGACGGCAGCTCAAAACCTGCTCAGATACATTCACTGGATCCAACACCGGCGACATCTTTGGACTTTAAACCTGTGATGTTTGACAGGATCGTCCACCACGTGCAGCGTCTTATTAAATGTATTATTGATCTGATTTTTAACAGGTTTTTAAACTTTTTTTAGGGTATATTGTTCCTTTTATAACAGTCGAGCATAAACAAAAAGAAAACTTATTTTAATTATTATTATTTCATTCTGCCAACTTAATTTCCTAATTATTTTATCTTTTAGACATTTTCTATCACCTCTCAAGGATAATTTTTCTTTAGTAACAGTGATTTTATTTATCAGAAAACTTAATTAAATATTTTTTTAATTGTTCAGTATAATTTATCATATGTTTTAAAAATGTGTTTATGCTGATTTTGTTCTCATCTAATATTTGATATATTGTTGAATCTGAGTAGTTGTTGATATTAAGCTAATTTCTAGTGAAGGTTTAACATCTGCTGTTATATTTGCTGTATTTGTTGGTGGTTCTGTAAAATGTCCTGATAATGGGACCCAAAACTTTATTGGGATCTTTTACACAAATATTTCTGTTATGCGTTTATGTCAAAAAACAAACATCGGTTGTGATTGTTATTAGACTTTTAAAATAAGTGACTCATTAAGAGTGTAGCGACAGACAGGAAACAAAGGTCCCTGCCTGACATCCAACCGTGGTCGTTGTGGTCACAGGAACAAATCATCCACTTACAGAGCGGGGCCAGCAGCTCGGAGCGCCGCTGGCTGTACTCCATCTCCAGGCTGTTGTAGCGCTCCTGTTGGGCCCCCGGGGGCCTCTGCTGCTGCAGGGACGTCAGCTGGGCCACGTAGCCGCTCAAGTAGATGTCCAACAACGCCACCAGCTGCTCACAAAGGTTGCTGCGCAGCTCTGAGTCGGCATGCGGGTACACCGTGCGCAAGATGATCTCGTGCTGGCGGGAGATGACGGTTCGAACGCCGCCAACACCTCCTGACGCTGGAGGAGAAGGCGGGAGACGAGGGATTAACGATTTATTATACTCCCAAAAAGCAGTTTTGTAGGTTGTAATCTAATCTACAGTGTTGGTATAAATAAGGCAATTCTAAAATATATAAATACACAACATTTCATTGTGTTTTACATGGACAAAAAGCAGTGAAGAACAAAGTTAGCGAGTAATAATCATGGATCTAAAACATTTATAAGAGCTCAGGGAGAGAAACACTGAATGTAAACACAACTGCTACATGTATGTATAAATGTAAACAGTATTGTATTCATACATTAATCAAACATAATCAAGATTATATAGTGAAGGACATTTAGGAACATGTAGAGCAAATCCAAAATCCAACTCTGGCAGCTGGAAAATGTAATTTAATGTAATTTTTCACAACACATTCCGGTATTAAGGCCCAAATCGCTTTAGAGCTCCTCTGGGGGCAGTTTTTTAACGTTCCGTCAGGCTGCAGCGACCTGAAGCTGCTGGTAGGAGAATTAAAGACTCTTTTAGTGGGTTAGTTTTACCTGTCCATGGGATGTACTCCGGCTCTGAAGCAGCGTTTTCAGAAGCTCTGTACATCGAGGCTTTGGTCTCCCTGTACTGACCGGCAGCCTGAAGAATGTCCTGCACACAGATGTTGGTACGGTTATTTTACTTGAGTTAATGTCGGCGCCGTCTTTCACCCCTTTATTAGGTTTATTACCTTGATGATGTTGTTGACGGTGAGAACCACTTGGGCCCACTGCACCGACTCCCCCGGGTTCTCCTTCAGACTGCGCTCCTCCTCCTCCAGCAGACAATCGAACACCGAGGAGATCTGAGACACCTGCAAGCACACAGAAAACACAAAGCTTCAGCGCGACCTTCGCAACCTGCGGATCGCCACGGCCGAACACGGGCAGACACAAACCTCTCTGAAGAAGACGTCGGCGGCGGTGAGGCTGGGCGGCACGGCGGTGTTGTTCCTCTGCAGAGCGATGCCGATGGCGCGGTTGACCAGCTCGGGGTGTTTGGTGTGTTGGTTCTTCAGCACCATGGCCGCCTGAAGCTTCTCGGCGTGCTCGCACAGCAGCAGGCGTGTTGCCATGGGAGACGAGCGCACAGTCACCTGGCCGAGCCGGTCCAACAGACCCACCTGACAAAAAGGGATGACGGTGACAACTCACTTCATGGATGGAAGTCCAGACGGCATCTTACACCAAAGAGGTTCAAGTTTCAGCCCGGCGAGGCTTCCCACTCTTATTGGCTTCAGTTTCACTCTAACAAACATTTGGCTACAGCTTAGTCAAACAGACAATTCACATTTTCCAGGCCATTTTAAGAAATATCCAGGTGTTTCCATGACTGGAAAACTACACTCTACATCTCTAAATGTCCAGGTTTTCCAGGATATGTGGGAACACTGCCTGATTGTCTGAAATCTGGCTATTTAAAGGTTTAGTTTGTGTTGTTTGAAGTGGTAGTGTGAGGTACTTTTCCGTACTCTAAGTACAGTAGACGGCGGTCAGCGTGCCCCCAGTTTGAAGGACCAGAACCAGTACAATAAGCAATGTGCTGGAGCTGCAACAAGATGTATTTTAGTCTCCTAAAAAAGTGTAGAAGTGTGTACACTATATTCAGAATATTTTCACGCCACCAGACTCCTTTAATGAAACCAGTAATTTCACCTCGCAGAGAACAGGAGTTGCTGGGTTGCTAAATCCCACTTCAAAAAAACCCAAACTAACACTTTACTCCACTTTGTCCACAGTGGAGTTGCATTGTGGGTAATGTAAGCTCCAGGTTTGGGGGTTTGGTTGAGGAAGAAGTGTGTTTAAACTGCTGGTTCTGTTGCACTGTGTGTCCAACACAAATCAATATATTATAGATTGATAAATGATATTATAGATATGGTATTAAGCCTATTCCATACCTTAAAATACAAAGCTAAATGTGTTGAATGGCCACTACACAAATTATTCAACAGATTCCAACTGTATGTATGTGTGTGTGTGTGTGTGTACCTGCAGCAGGAAGTCCATGAAGCAGCCGTGGGCCTTCATCTTGTCCTCCAGCTGGTGGAGGATGATGAGGGAGGTGAGAGGAAATCCGGCGCTCTCTGGAAGAACAGAAACAGAAATATTTGTATTAAAAAATTAAACCCTTCAGTTTATTTAATATAATTGTTATTTTTGCTGTTTTCTTGAATTAGATTTCATTTTTCAGACATTTTAAGTGCATTACTGACCAAATACCACCTGTGCTCACTGCATTCATGTTCATTTTATATCAAACACAAGCCCACAAATATCTTCAAATGTACTGAATAAATGTGGTGTAATTAATTACTGTAAAAAAAAAGAAGGTTTTACTGTTAATTAACCACGTTCCTTCAAAAATAAGATGTTATTAACAATATATAACACTAATATTATAGTAATACACTAAATAAAGATTAGAGTCTGGCAGTATAAGAGACTACGATGCCACAACCTCCAGCTTTCAAACCAATTTTAAGAGCAGGTGTATAGACTTTCTCTCCCTCCTCTTCCCCCTCCTCACCGTCGGGGACAGACTCGGCCCACCGAGGGTCTGAAGCCGGGTAATCGTCCACCAGATCCAGGTTGATTCGGGTCACCATGCCGTCCAGCTCGGCTACCTCCTCCCCGTCACCGTCAGCGGGGAAGAGCTCGTCAGTGACCGTCTGAGCTCCCACCAGATCATTACTGACACAGGACAGCAGATTATTTTTTATTTAGGGACTGAATCATTTTATTCTAAATAATAAATTCCAGTCACTTTTTTTTAAACGAGGACTTTGGAGCCGACGTACCGACAGAACTGCAGGAAAGCCGCCTTCAAGAGTTTGGTTTTGTCCTCCTGAGCTACAGGCTCTGCTCGGGTTGGAGTCTCCATGGCCGAAACCTTTAACACAGAATCATCAGTAGAAATGCATTTTAGATTCACAATCACAGGCGTAATCACATGATTTAGGACCAGTTTCCTTTAAAAGGTTATATGTGTAAATATATATGTATATAACAAGTCTTGGTTTTACTTTGTTTTTATCATCTACGTCGGTTAATTAAGGATTTATTTCGACCAAACCAGAGTTTGTGATTGTTGGAACAGTTTTGGTGAGTTTTATTTTGTTTCTGTCCACTTTGAATAAAGTTACGATGATCTGAAGGTAAAAGTACCGTTTCTGTCTCTGGAGTCTGGTGGAGAGTGATGGTGATA